AGTCGTCCATGTTGGAAAACAGAATGGGTATTCCCCAAGGATCTGTTCTTGGCCCGTTGCTGTTTAGTTTGTTTATAAATGATTTGCCTGCCAGCTGCCAACTTTATGCAGATGATGCAGTTATACACGTAGCAGCTAAGTCACCTGGTGAAGCAGCAGACACCTTAACGGTACATCTAAATGGTGTCCAAAAATGGCTGGAACAAAATCATCTCGTACTGAATTTAAAAAAAAACAAAAAAAAAACAGTTTCTATGTGTTTTTCGATTAGGAAACAAAATTCATCTGATGATTTTAAAATCAACCCAGGGAATGAAGAAATAAAGGAGGTCAAAGATTTTAAGTTTTTAGGAATAATTTTAGATTCACATCTTAAATTTGACAAGAAGCATTGAGAAGCATTGTAATATGTATTTATTTAGATTGTGAGCCCAACAAGGGACAATTGTTGAAAATTAGCAGCAGCTATAAACCTGTGTGCGGTACATCAGTCTCATGTCTTGCACTTGAACTATGTTTAACTGCACTGTCCCTTTTAAATAAACAAATTCAAAACTATGAATGAACACATATGGAAATATGTAGTAAAAGTGTGAAATAACTCAAAACATGTTTTATATTTTAGACTGAGAAGCAGTTACAGCTGAACGAGTCTCCTCCTCTACTGCGTAGTACTCACAGGAATCAGACTTTTTAAACAGAGAGCTGATTCCAGACATTCCTGTGCTGAGAGTGCCAGGTCGAGATCCACAGCTGTAAATATTCAGATGCTTCTGCTTCTTTTCATTCAGTTTTGAATGTTAAGCTACGATGTGATATTTAAATTAGAACGATATCTGCAGTAAACAGTAAGTCAGTTTCACTAGCTGGCACCACATCCTGGCTAACGATGGGCAATGAGGAAGTGTGACTGGTGCTGTGGTTTGGGGAAGGCCTCGAAGGGGACTGGCGACGGCTCTCGGGCCGGGCAGATCCCCATGTACTAACGAGAAATGAATGAAGGAAAGGAAGAGAGGAGAAGACAGGGAAAATGGGGGGGCAGGGTGGGGCATGAAAATGAGAACAGCAGGTATTGGAGAAGGGGGGCTTTTATAGCCTGAGGCCGGAGGGGGCGTGAAGGAGGAGTGGTCCCGCTCCTGAAATTCAGATGATATCTCCACTACATGCTGAAAAATAACGAGTCACCTTAAGTTGCCAATCAAAGTCCTGCAGAGTAGCAGAGGAGATGGAGTTGGTTCTGTCCAGCAGGGCGCAGCGGATCTCTTCTTCTCTTGCTCTGAGCACACTCAACACAACCTCAGCTTGGCTGCTGCTCACATCTGACAACTGGGACAGCACCTGCACACAATCGGCCAGAGAAGACCTGAAAATCTCCCCTAAAAGAACCCCACTCACCATGCATCGAGCTGGACTGTACCTATTATTAAAAGTAAAGACAATTTCTTCCTATATTAAACTAGGGTCACGCTGATGGTTGAAACCAAACATTCAAAGTCTCCGTTTCATAAAAGCTGACTCGTGACATGTAACATTTGTAAAATCTGAACAGAACCAGCTGTTTAAAATAGATTAGTTCTGACATAGTGCTTGTCTAACCTACATGAGCTTTATACAACATGCTTCAATTTCATATTCACCTTTCTCGCTTTTGATCCAGTAACTGCATCAGAGAGAGCAACTTGGGGTTCAGCACCTTCCCCAAGGATACTTTAGCACGTAGACCGAAGCAGCCAATCACCAACCTTCTCTACTTCCTGACTA